ATGTATATGTGTGTGATATATATATATATATAATGTTCTGGTTGAATTCAGGTCTCCAGCTTCTGTCTTCAGTTTAATTACAGCTGTGAAGAAGATAGAGTAAAAGTGAAGAGTGTCTCTATGTGATATATATATATAAGTTCTGGTTGAATTCTTAGATCATAGTGAGTGTGAATGCCTAAGGATGGTTAAACTGGTATGGGGATGTGAAACTTGAGCTTTGTTTTGTTGTTCTCTTGTGGAAACACTTGTATTAGATGAATTAAAATGTCTCACTTAACAGATCTGTAGTCCTCATATAGTTTTCTGATCCCCAAAATTTAAAACTGCAAAGGGTGTTGGGAATGCTTTCACCCAGTTGAACTATTCTCCTTTTTTTCTTCTAGTTCTAATTGACAATAGACCATATTGTGTTCTGATACTTGCACCATTATAAATTATAAAATTGAACATAAACACTAAACTCACCAGAGTGGCAAAGAGATGATAGAGAATGAAATAGATGGCAACAACAGGAGCCCACATGTGTCCCACCGCATTCAGAGTTTGGTCCATTACGTCTACCCATCCTTCCTGGGTAAGGATCTGGAACATGGACATAAATGCCTATAGAGGGAAAAAATGAGGTATTAAATAACAGATTTAGACCTCATTTAAATTTCAAATGAGTATATGGCATTTCCAGCTTAGAGTATATTTGCTAGTGTGTCTCATAATATAAATGAGGACTTTGGTCTTCAGATTAAAGATTATCATCAGATTGACCTGGAGAACACAGTTTTCATTCAACAAATAGGGAATGGCTAAGAACAAAGACTCTAGATGCCTGATATCTAACTATTCAATATGGAAAAGTAAAATAATGACACTGAGTTAAAATTAGTTTTGTTGGTGGTAAGTAACACTGAGCAAATTAAAGAAAACATATTTGCCTATTTGTCTTTGAAAAATATTTTAAGCAAAACAATAATAGCTCAATATTTCTAATAAATTGCTGTACATATTTGTCTATTAGAGCAACTTGTTTTTAAAATAAATTACATTTCATTGTCTAAAGGCATATAAAATAAAAGTAACCTTCATGTCATTGTTATAGTACCTATTTATCAAACTACATTATATTTAAAATATGGCTCTTATAAAATGACATTGCTGTGACAAGCAACTTAATAAGAACAATCACATTTTTTTCAACACTAGTCAGCCAACTCAAAAGGCTCATCATTGATAAGTTAAATGATTGCATTTTTTAATTTTTTGATATATATTATACATATCAATTTATGATCAATATGCCCATCATTATGATAATGACAGGAGATCTAGTCCCTGGAATCTAGTGAATCTTCTAAAAATGACTCTATAGGCTACAGTACAATAAACACAAAGGTTGAATTTTCAGGTGTTGGGACTTGAGGAAATAAAGCCCAAGAAAATACAAAGATGGACTAACTCAAGAAAAAGAGTCCTGTTATTCTGATAGGATCTTAGAGACAAAAGGGACTCTATTATTATTTAGACCCTGCAGTCTGCAATATGGATTGAGGCTCAATGTCAAGAAGACAAAGATTCTCACCAATGGACCAAGTGGCAGCATCAGGAAGGATGGTGAAGAGATTGAGCTTGTTCACAGCTTTAGTTTGCTTGGCTCCACAGACAACACTCTTGGCACCAGTAACCAGGAAATTAAAAGACATATTGCCATGGGAAAGTCTGCTGTTAGGGACCTCTCCAAAGTACTGAAGATCAATGGTGTCTCTCTGGAGACTAAGGTGCGT